TACCAAGAATATCAGACTGGATTAAAAAGGTAGACCAGATATATAGAATGGAAGAACTATACCATATAGATGAGGATAAAGTGGAGTGTTTTCGTGAAAAATGGAAAAAGTGGGAGGAGTTCAAGAAGGTTAACTTAATTGAAATTGTATAAGATAGAAGAATATATGAATACCCTAGGATTCCAAAAGAGAGAGAAATGTTGCTGAGAAGTGAGGGTGGGGGAAGGGAGGGGAAGGCAAGGTGTGGGATAGGGAGGGGGGAAGGGGGAGTCTGTATCTTTTGTATGTTGGGTGAAAATAATGGAATGAGTTAAGGTGAAATTTTAATTGATGGAAGAGATAAAATGTAAAACTTAATAAAATATTAATTAAAAAAAAAGAAGGTGCTGATCTGCATATTCATGGGATCCAGACCAATCCCAGGCAGGAGGCCTGGCAGTGTGCAGACAGGCCCATAAAATATGAGAGAGCTTGGCCAGCATGGGAGTCAGGTGGAAGATGGAGTGTTGAGGTGTGCTGCCTGGGAGAGGACCCCAGGAGAAGGGGGGTCCTACCTCCAGGCTTGAGGTGTAAGGATGGGAGAAAGAAATTGACACAGGGAGCTCCACTGCCCTGCAGTTCACTGAGGAAGGACAAGCCTGCATGCTAAGAAAGAACTAGCCCAGCAAAAAGCCTGAAAGCAGTTTACTCAAAAATACAGGACACAAGGACAATGTGTGTACCTCTACACCCTCTGGGCCTACAGGAGAGAGGGATGCTAGGTGCTATACCCAACTCGTTTTCTCTGGGACAGTGCTACAAGTCCATTCCAGAATCTTTTGCTCCCGTGTACTCTTTAAAGACAGCCAGGTGAAAGGGCATTTCCTAGCTCCGTTCTGAAGAGATTAACTTAGAGGGGACCAGATGCTCTTCACAGCATCTGTGTTGCTGATCCATGAAGAGGCTGTTGCCATTCTGGATGGAGTAGAAAGTCTAGGATCCTCCATTTTTTGTACAGAATTTAGGAAGTTTGCCCTCAGAGTATTAGTTTCAAGTCAAGTTTGGTATTCCATATATCTCTAGACCCTATCCAAGTTGTTTACACCTAAATAAAAAAAAAAAACAAAACAAGCCCATGAATTGACTACCGACTCGGAATGAAGTTTGGAAAATGCAAGTTGCCTGCCTGTGCATGAAAATAGGGAAACCCAAAACCAGCGACTCTCAAGGGGGCAGCGCTACATACAATCTGGAGTAAAAAAGGGAAAGGGAAAACATAATTGAAATCTATAAATACATTAAGGGAGTGAAAAAGGCTCAGGAGGGCAGTATTTTTAATATGAAACCAAATTCAAGAACATGGGGACATGACCTCAAACTAACCTGAGGAAAGTTCAAAACTAATCTTAGAAAGTATTGTTTTACTGAAAGGGTAGTTGATGCTTGGAATAAACTTCCAGCAGAGACAGTGAGCCAATCAACAATAAATGCATCAAATGTGCTTGGAACAAACATAGATCTATACTCAGACAAAAAAGTTAACAACCCCCCTCCAAAAAAAAACCAAAACATGTATAAAAAAAGAAATAAAAATGGGCAAACTCAATGGACCACTCTGTCTTTTTTCTGTTGTAATTTTGTATGTTTCTATGTTCTTCATTCATAAGAATGGTGTCACTCAGGAAAATACAACAATATGACCACCAGATGAAGAAGACAAATGCAGGTAAATGAGTATGTATTATCATTAGCTTATATATACATTATACTGTATATAAAATATATTTATGACCATTAGCTTCATCTAGTGGTGACTGAAGAGATATTCTTGCCTAATAGCTTGTATATGTACTTTTTGGTAACAGTTTTATTAGTTCACTCTGAAGTGCTTATATTTTTTTATTGCTCTGGGTTACAACACATAGCTGGTACTGTATATTTCACTAAAATGCAGAAAAGGCAACAGATCCAATAAAGGATATGATCACTGTAGATTGCCAAGCCAACAGTCAAACGTATTTAGGTATTTATTGACTTTTTAGTACTTTTAAGGTTTGCCAAAATGCAAAATGGTTAATGAAATGTCGATAGCAGAATACTAATACATTTTTAACACCAAAAAAGGTCACCTAACCATCATGCTCAGCCTATGGATGTATTGCCATGTACTGATGCATGTCTTATGCTCCACATGTCCCTTACCAGTGCAACCATGTGAATATAAGGCAGACATGTTGTATTTAGTCAGACTGCTGTTGCTAGCTCTCATATTCCATCACTGTGCTCATTGGGACCTTCAATGCTGCAGAAATTTTTCTGTGCCCTTCCCCAGATCTGTGCCTTGATACAATTCTTTCTCGGAGGTCTATGGACAATTCCTTGGACTTTATGGCTTGGTTTGTGCTCTGACATGCACTGTTAACTGTGGGACCTTATATAGACAGGTTTATGCCTTTACTAATCATGTCCAATCAACTGAATTTCCCACAGGTGGACTCCAGTCAAGTTGTGGAAACATCTCAAGGATGATCAGTGGGAACAGGATGCATCAGAGCTCAACTTTGAGTGTCGTGGCAAAGGCTGTGAATACTTATGTACATGTGTTTTTTTTTTTTGCTTTTTAACTTTAATAAATTGCAAAGATGTCAAAACAAACTTCTTTCATGTTGTCATTATGGGGTATTGTTTGTAGAATGTTGAGGGAAAAATTAATTTAATCCATTTTGGAATAAGGCTGTAGCATAACAAAATGTGGGAAAAGTTTCTGGATGCACTGTACGTAGCTACACCTAGAAGGAACAGAAAACAAAACTACTGATGCCTTTGGTAGTGGGATGCTTTATATGTACCTAAACAAATTGCAAGAACAATAATTTAACAGATCATAGCAGGGGATTTTAGAAAGTAAAAACAGTATATTGTGGTGTCATGCTGTAAAGGGAACAGTATCTTCCACAATGCATATTTTTGCATCCAGACTCAGCATGTCTAACTCCCTATATTCCTGTTTAATTCTGTATGCAAGAGAAGCTGAAAAATATAGCCCATGAGAATGTTACTACTGAGAGCTAACAGCCAGAAGTGTTAACTGTGTAGAAACATGAAAGAGCACTGAAAAGTACCACTGAGGAGGGGAAGCACATAATTCAGCATGTTGCTGTATTCTCAAGGCACACATAAACACATTAAATAATATAAAACCCTAGTAAAGGTCAGATAAGGGTACAGTGCCAAGCAAACATTTGTATTTTCTGAAAGTGATAGACTGCGCTATGTGTTTACTGCAAAAAGGCTTTGTCCATGCTAAACCAATTTGCTGAACCAGGAGGCTTTCATTATGAAAATACAAATGACAAAGGCAGCTGGGAGTTGCAATAACTCTGTTGTGTTCCTTACAATCATGCGTTTAGTCATAGAATAATCCCTGATGGAAAGCAGACTGGTTAAAAGCATTGAGTATTCAATCAAAATGCACAGCTAGCATATTAGTCAGCACGATTTCCATAAGGTACTCTATACTTTGCAACACTGCTATTTTCTATCAAAAGTAATAGCAAAATGTCACAATATAATAAAATTACTGTTGCAAGTAATTAAGAACAACTACTTAAAAATTTCCTGCCAAAAACATACATTTGAATAGTACAAAAATACATATGTTGAACTGTATAAACAATCAATATACAGTATAAACAAATATAAAATGCAAGAACGCCAAATCATAAATGCAATTCAGTCCACTGTGCATTTAAATTTATAATTCCACATTTACATTGTGTCATGAAAAAAATAAAAATGAAAACTTATATGACTATGGTTCACATAGTACCAATGAGTTCCACCATCAGTTATAAGAAGTCTCAGCCTCTTACCAAAATTTCAGACCCCAAATCATAAGAAGTCTTAAGAGCATTTGGTACATCAAGGGTTAACTCAGCCAAACTCAGGTTGCACTGCTCAGAATGGATCCACTATGTGGATGGACGGTAACCTCATCAACAGGATGGCTCAGGACCAAGAAGAAAAGATTACTTCATAGTGTAAAACCACTAGGTTGATTTAATACTTAAAGGAATGTACTCACAGGATCATATAGAAATGCTAGGAACAGCACAGAACACGCCACCAGGCGGTCGGGAGGCATGATAACATCAGTGTACACCCCACCCCAGCGTGCTTCGTCCCCAATCTCAAAAAGGATTTTTATTGTTTCATGACACAATGGGAATGTGAAATTATTAATTTAAAGGCACAGTAGATTGAATTGCATTTATGATTTGTTTTTTGTGCACTTTATTTTTGTTTATATATTGTTTATACAGCGTAACATATGTGTTTTATGTATGTTGATGCATATTTGTGTTTGGGTGTGTTTTTGGGTGCAGCTGAGTAGGGTTTTCATTGATTTTTTTGTTTTTTGCATCAAGCACAGTTTTAAAGTCTCATATTTAAAAAGTAAATATAAAATGATAAAACAAAGTACACATCAGGTGTAAATAATGGAAACATTTAAAATACAGCATAACATATTGAACCTATAGTGTAATCTAGAATATCAAAATAATTTACATACAGCTATCAGTTAATTCAACTATTAGCTCCTCCTTAGTGGCTTGAATCATAGATTAAATACTGTCACATACAGTAGCAGAATATAAGCCTTGTTTGGAATGTGAACAAGTTTGAAATAGTACTCTTTCACTCATGACTTAGGGGAAAATTAATAAAGCGATGAATGTGACATTCCAAAGATATTCACTGTAGGTGAGTTTTCCTGGTTCATATGTTTTAAATTGGTTCACCTGAAGTGAATATTTGGTAAATTTCAAATATAAATCAGCAGATTTTGGGTGAAGGCTCTGTGAATCCTGGGTGAAAACATTCATAAAAAGATTCCTTAGCCTTTCCTGTAAATATATTTAACCAGCTCCCGCTCGCCATATAGTAAAATGACGGACGCAAGGCGGTTCTCTCATTCTGGTAGGACGTCATATGATGTCCTCCCATTCTAACCGTGGATGTGCGGCGTGGCAATGAGCTGTGTTCCTCGGACACAGTGGATCACCAATCCATGGAAAGAGCCGAAGATGTCGGCTCGGTCATGTGATCAGCTGTGTCCAATCACAGCTGATCGCATGTAAATAGGGAAATGCCGGGTATCGGCATTTCTCTCCTCACGAGCTGTCAAGCTGACAGCTCGAGAGGAGAAGAGAGACGGTAATCGGCATCCCTCAGAGGGGACATGTACACAGATCACCAGGGCACTAATAATCAGTGTGCCCTGATGATCTGTGTAGCCCCAGCAGTGCCACCTGTCAGTGTCCATCAGTGCCAGCTGTCAGTGCTCATCCATGCCACCTGCCAGTGCACATCAGTGCTTCATCAATGCCACATTTCAGTGCCTACCAGTGAACATCAATGCCACATATCAGTGCCCATCTGAGCTGCCTTTCAGTGTCACCCATCAGTGCCAGTCAGTGCCACCTATCAATGCCAGTCAGTGCCACCTATCAGTGCTGCCAATCAGTGCCGTCTATCAGTGCCAGTCAGTGCTGCCTATCAGTGCCAGTCAGTGCCACCTATCAGTGCGCATCAGTGCCATCTATCAGTGCCAGTCAGTGCCGCCTATCAGTGCCTCATCTGTGCTGCCTATCAGTGTGCATCAGTGCCGTCTATCAGTGCCACCTAACGGTGCCAGCCAGTGCCACCTATCAGTGCCAGTCAGTGTCACCTATCAGTGCCATATATGAGTGCTGCCTTTCAGTGCCCATCAGTGATGCTTAGCAATGCTCATCAGTGCCACCTACTAGTGCCTCCTCATCAGTGCCACCTATCAGTGTCCATCAGTGCAGCCTATCAGTGCCCATCAGTGCAGCCTCATTAACGCACATCAGTGAAGGAGAAAAATCACTTATTTACAAAATTGTATAACAAAAACTAAGAAAAAACATTTTATTTCAAAATTTTCAGTGGTTTTTGGTTTGTTTAAGAAACAATAAAAAACCCAAAGGTGAATAAATACCACCAAAATAAAGCTCTATCTGTCACAAAAAAAATAATAAAAATTTCATAGGGGTACAGTGTTGCATGACCGCGCAATTGTCATTCAAAGTGCAACAGTGCTGAAAGCTGGAAATTGGCCTGGGCAGAAGGGGGGTATAAGTGTCCTGTAGGCTAGTGGTTAATAGCTAACAATTTTCTTGTTCTCTAGCAAAATATATACTACAGATGAAACTGCCAATTTTTTCTCTTCTCTTTGGCTATAAGACCCTGTTCACAGTTGAGTGTTTTTCTGCTCATAGCTTGACATTCAGAAATGCTCAATAAGGAAAATCCCATTCATTTCAATGGCCCCTGTTCACATATGAGAGTTTTGCCACCTGTAGGAAAACATCTGTCTCTCAAAAAAAGAACATGCACTACTTTTTAGTCAGATTTGAGCATTTTTGTCCCTAGACTTCAATTGAAAATGCCTGAACAGCGAGAATGAATGTTTTTTCAAGCATTTTTTCAGGCGTTTTCAGCTCGAACAGACGGTCCCCCCTCCTCTTTTCTAGCATCACTACACAGCTTGTAAAGACACATTTTGCGATCAAAATAGAGGAGAGTCTGCTTCTGGAGACAGAGACTTTCAATGGCCTGATTTGTGGATTTGTGCATTTACGATCCCAGGGATCCCTATTACAAGAGCCATGCAAGTACAACCAGACCCTGGGAGGAAGTGGGACAAAATGTGGTCCCGCAATGGAACAGCTGCACTGAGCCCTAGATCAAGGAGAAAGGTACAGAACGTGTGCGTACAGCAGCCATGTGCTTGATTCTGGTTTTCCTTTTCTATGTCCTCTACAGTGTTTCTTACAGGCATGTTAGTCAGGGATAATTTCCCACTGTTTTTAATTTGATATCTTGCTCTAGAACTTTTGTGGAAACTTGCAGCTATTTTCTTTTGCAGGAATGTGATCCAGCCATGTAATCAGTCTTCTCCATCTTGTGTTGTCAGTGTAAAACCTGCCTAGACATTTTTCAGCAACATTGCAGCTGCATGTTTTCCAGAAAGCAGAGCAAAGTTATGTACTAGCTGCATGGTTTCTGGAAAGCAGAGCCTGTCACGGTTCTGTGTTTGCTGAGTTATGTGCCTTGAACTTCTGTACAGCATTTGTAGCAGGCATGTTTAGTCAGGCATGATTTCCCAGAGTTTATAACCTCATGTCTTACTTTAGAAGCTTTCTGGATAATTGCAGCTGTTTTCTTTTGCAATAGTGTGGTCCAGACATGTAATCAGTTCTCAATTTTGTTTTACTTGCGTGTAAAATCTGCCTAGACGTTTTCATTCCAGCAGCATGTTTTCCAGATATATGATCCAGCCATGTAGATCTCCTAGATTGTCTAGAGCAGTGGTCTGCAAACTGTGGTCCTGGTGCCAGATGCGTTTGCTTGCTTTCATCTGACCCTTGGGGCGCTGTTTAATCCACTGATACCAACGATGTGGCCTTATTTCCCCACCACTAACACCAATGAAGGGATACAATTACTCCCAATGACACCAATGATGGGATACAATTTCTCCCAATGACACCAACCATGGGACCCAGTGACACCAACAATGGGTCCCAATTCCTCCCAGTGACACCAATGATGGGCACAATTACTCCCACTGAAACAGATGATAGGGCATTATTTTTCCCACTGACATCAGGATTTTTTACTACTCCCAATGGCCACAATCCAGCCCCCCTAAAGTCTGTAGGACAGTAAACTGTCCCTTTGTTTAGAAAGTTTGGTGACCCCTGGTCCAGACTGATATACTGTATACATAAAAGATTTTCAAAAACACTCTATAATCAAACCTATAACATCACACATCATTAACAACCAGAAAAATATGTTTGAATATTTTTATTATTTCAATGAATAGTGGAGAAAAAGCAGGTTTTTATTGTAACCAGTCGGCAGAGCTGAAGTCATCATCTAACATATTTATATAGCTTCAGGTTCCCAGGTTACCTGTCCTGTGGGAGACATAAAGTATGATGTGAATTCATCCCTGACTTGTACTCCACTTGTGGTGCCACAGCTTCCACTTCATTGGGCCCTTGCTATGCTGTGCATTAGAGCATCTTCAAAAAGTATTCCATTACATTCCTGAACAAAATTATGCAGAACACATGCTGCTTTAACTGCAGTGATTGCATTTTGCATATTTAAGTTGATAGCAGTGTGCAAAAAATGCCACTTATTGGAAAGGAGGCCAAGAGCATATTCCACCACTCTACGTGCTCTGGTGAGGCGATAGTTGAAAACCCCTTTTTCTGCATTTAGGTTGTGGCTAGAATAGGGCTTTATTATGTGGGTACCTAGAGAAAACGCCTCATCTCCTACAAAGATGAATGTCAGATCTGGACTACTCGTTCCTGGCAATGGCAAGTTCTCTGTCAGATTCAGGTCAGTGACTATTGAACAAAACCCTAATTGTAAATCATCATCTTTGGCAAATAACAAATCTATACTGGACAAGGGTACATTGCCCTACGCATCGTTTGGCCAATTGATGAATCTAAAATATATAACCTTTCTTCAAATATATATAAAATGTATGCTCAACTGTAATTAATGCCTATTATAGAAGAATGTACTGTGCATAAAAATATGACTGGATACCATTGCAATTATTTACCTTATATATCCAAATGATTAATAACACCAAACCAAATCAAACACCATACCGCTTTAGATGAAGAGACGGCATAAAAAGAGACACTGTAGTTTGATCATATGCCTATCAGCTTGAATATATAATCTCTATCAAGGAAATTAGGTTACCCTATGGACAAAACTATGGACACCACAGCAGCACATCAGTCCACAACACAATAGACACTGCTGGTGCTCTCTGTTAATGCCCCAATAGTTAAGGACCAAAATTACAGTTCATACCATTATATAGCATTTGTGGAGCAAAATCAAACAAAAAACACAGAATCCCCTCTTCAGTCTATTATGAGTGCTGCTGCCAGACTCATCCACCTTACTAACCGTTCCGTGTCTGCCGTCCCTCTCTCCCAATCAATCCACTGGCTTCCCATTGCCCAACAAATAAAATTCAAAATATTAACAATAACATACAAAGCCATTTATAACTCTGCCCCAAATTACATCACCGAACTTGTCACCCAATATCCCACCCAAACCGTACTTTCCACTCCTCCCAAGACCTCCTGCTCTCTAACTCCCTTGTCTCCTCCTCTCATGCTCGTCTCCAGGACTTCTCCAGAGCCTCTCCTATCTTCTTGATCTCCCTACCACAATTGATCTCCCTAACACAATTTGTCCAGCTATCGCCTACTCTATCCACCGTCAGGTGATCCCTGAAAACGTATCTCTATTTCTCCCATCAGTTCATCCCCCACAGTCAATACCGTTTGTTCCAGCAGCACCTACCTATTAGATTGTAAGCTCCCAGGTGCAGGGACCTTTTAACACTCTTGTATTGAATTGTATTGTTGATGTTTTGTCTTCCTTTATATTGTAAAGCGTTGAGCAAACTGTTGGCGCTATATAAATCCTGTATGATAATAATTAGCTGATTTGTAGTGCTAGGACTTCTGGAAATAAATTGGTGGCCCAATAAAGTGTTTACAAGGTAAGGGTTCTGCAAATCCTACCTACAAAAACATGTGATGACCTTGAACTAGAGTGCAACCTCCACACTAGCTCCAAAACCACAGTATCTTCACTAAAAAGAAAGAACGCGTAAGTATTATTGTGTAACACTTAACATGATTACATGAACTACTAACCTTCTGTTGATTAAACGTTATTGCCACACTAATGTGTTCAGCAATGTTCAAGTGATGCTTTACAAACGCAGTGAATGGAGAGAACAACTAATAAGCAGAAATTGCCTTCATGTCAATATGATCTATAGATCCACATGTATTTTCTTTAAGAGTTATGTTTTGCCAAACTCTTCATGTCTTCTGGATCTTTCCATTAACCTTTCAAAGCCATATTAAAGCCAGATTGTTTTTAAAAATAACAAACATGCCATACTTACCTGCTCTGAGCAGTGGGTTTACACAGAACAGCCCTCATCCTCCTCCTCTCAGGTTTCCAATCGATGCTCCTGGCCTCTCCCTCCTGCCAAGTGGCCCCAAAGCAAGCAGCTTGCTATGGGGGCACTTGAGCAGGCCTGCTCCCGAGCCACCGTTCTGTGCATTCCATACAGGCAAGCAGATGTACTGACAGGTCTGCAGGAGACCTGCATGGCATCAGCGATCTGCTGATTGCTGGTGCAATGCTCCTGCAACAAAAAATAATAAATGCACATATTTTTACCTGCAAAAAAATGTGCATTTATTATTTTTTGTCAAAAGGTGAACCTATTTGAATGTGAAAAAGCTCTGCTAATTTCCATCATCCAATCATGTGCAAACAAAAATGCTGTTTTTATTTTCCTTGCACCTGATTGGATATTCTTTACAGAGTGAAGCTTCACCACATTCACTAAAGCTGACCATAGATGATGTAATTTTCTTTCCTACATCCACGGGTTTGAATGGTTTGAATCTCAGCTCGTCCCTGCTCAACCAGTTGACATTTGAACCATCTGTGTCTGGCTTAAGGTCAGGAAAATGATTGCAGCCACACTTGCAGAATGCAACTGCACTTGTAAAATGCAGTCTATTTGCCTTTAGTAAATCAACCTCGTAGTGTCCAATAGGGAGGCTTAGGTGGCAGTAAGGTGGGGCTAATTTAGCTTTTAACCACTTGCCTACTGGG